GGAAAAGCCCATGATAGATTTGATCGAAATCTGCTGCATACCATCAGGAAGGCTGGATTCACTGAAAATGTCAAGATGGATACTAGATGGGGCCCTGATGGGAAGTCTTCTAGACTGGATTACGTGCTCACTAGTGACCAGCTACTAGTGGAAAACGTTCAGATCACGACTCCCATAGGTAGTAGTGACCACGCGGTCATAGTATTCGACATAGTCCTCCGCGAGCGCTTACAGTGGGACAATACACAGCCCTATCTGTGTTATAACAAAGCCAACTACACCAAAATGCGAAGACTTCTGTCTGAAGCAAATTGGCCTAAAAAATGGACAGAGCTAACAGTAGAAGAACACTGGAGAGTGGTAAAGGAGATCATTCACCAGGCGGTCTCAGACACTGTTCCTTTAGTCACACCAAAAGCTAGGAAGCAACGATCATGGCTAAAAAGAGGGACACAACGCCTTCTGCAGGCGAAGCGAAAAGCCTGGTTTGCGTGGCGACGATCGAAGAGTCAACCCGAATATGAAGTGTACCTTGAACTCAGGAATCGATGTAACATACGAGTCCGGAGCGATAGAAGGACATTTCAGGGAAACCTCGCCAATAAGCTTCTCGTGAACCCCAAAAGCCTATACAGGTTTATGCCGAAAGAAAACCGACCAACCAGGGAGCATGCAATCTAGTGGGTTCTGATGGGAAATCTCTTACTAGTCTTGAAATGGCAGAGACATTCAGCCTAGCCTTTCACAGGCAACTAAACAGTAACGAGGATATTACCCCCACAGAACATCCAGATTACATCGCAAACCAACACACGAAAACCTGCTGGGTACATTTCAAATTACCCCGGCTATGGTACTTGCAAAATTGGGAAGGTTGGCTTCGGGAAAGTCTTCAGGTTGTGATGACATCAGACCATCTGTCCTGAAGCAGTGTTCAGAAAGTCTCTGCCAACCCCTAAGTGATCTGTTCCAACACTCCCTTGATGTAGGGAAACTTCCATGTGAATGGAAACGTGCAATCCTATCCCCTATCTTCAAGGGTGGTGACCGGCAGAATGTGACCAGTTACAGACCAGTTGCTCTACTTCCAGTGATATCGAAGATATTGGAAAGTCTCATTGACGACCACATGAGAAAATACTTCGATGGGACTAACCTTCTTCACGAAGCACAGCACGGTTTCAGGACGAATCTTCTACTAGCTTGGAACGATTGGACACTATCCTGGGACAAAAAGGTACCAGCCCACGTGATCTTTCTCGACTTTGCGAAAGCATTCGACACAGTTCACCATGGTCTGCTCCTTCACAAAATAAGCAAGGCGGGTGTTTCTGGAGCACTTCTCGCATGGCTGACAGATTACTTAGGCGAGAGAGAATTCTGCACCAAAGTCAACCGCATCCGATCATCCTGGCACACCTCGGCATCAGGGGTTCCTCAGGGTTCTATCCTAGGGCCGTTGATGTTTTTGATTTTTATCAACGACCTGCCCCCCAACTAAACTGCTCTGCGCTTCTTTACGCTGACGACGTAAAGATTTGGAGAGCAATAAACTCATCGGAAGACTCAGATAGATTGCAGGCTGACCTGCAAACTCTGGGAGAAAGGGCTTGGCTAACGGAATGCCTTTCAATCTAAAGAAGTGCAAAGTAGTGCAGCTTCATTCCGGCAGGTCACAGAGTGTAAATTACACCCTTGGTGGCCAGAACTTGAGTTGTGTTCCATCAGAGCGTGATCTAGGTCTTATTCTAACAGAAAAGCTAGACACCAGTGGAAATTACTCGAGGGACGTCGCCAAAGCCTACGCAACATTACACTTTATGCACAGGCAGCTGGGAGCTCTCACTCCCGAACTGTTCTTAAGGCTATACAAGGCATATGTGAGGCCACACCTTGAGGTGCATAATATCATTGCACCTCCGCTACTCAAAAGGGATGCTAACATTCTAGAAAGTGTCCAGAGACGAGCGACAAAATGGGTGATCGGCCTCCGCAACAAATCATATGAGGAAAGACTAAAGAAATTAGGTCTTTTCACACTTAGTTACCGTAGGCACAGGGGAGACCTCATCACCGTCTACAAGATCCTAAATGACCAGGCCCACCCAAATAAAAGCATCCTGCCATTAAGTGATTATAGGCTTCCACGAGGTAACCCGCTAAGGATAGCACACCAGAGACCAAAGACTCGAGTGCGATCACATTTCTTTTCGCTTCGTGTTTGCCGTCTCTGGAACGCTTTACCGGCGGCCGTGACTACAGCGCCATCTGTGGAGATTTTTAAGCGGAAGCTAGACAATCATGCAGAAATGCAAGGTTTGTGTCTCAATGGCTTATCCTCATAAAACTTAAACCACACTGTCAATGGATAAGCATACAACCCCACGACCTATTCTGCCTTCTCTCACTCTACTCTATCTTTTCCTTAGGTCACCTTTATTATTCCACTTATCTCAACCTATATTATCTACACTACAACCTTTATTATTATTATTACTATTCTGCTTTTATGACTACACCGAATGACCAACGGGAGTTAGGTCAAACTCCATTCACGGCAGCAATACAGTCCTAACATACTGCATACTACAAACCACATCTCGACCAATCCCCGCACCACTCCTCTTGGAGTCTACCAGAGCTAAAGCAGTCGAGTGGCGGGACTTACTACGCAGAAGCTCACCGAAGATCTGGAACCTCTACCTCACAATCAAGAAGCGAGCTCAAAGAAATCACTGGTTTATACTAGCTCGTAATCAGGATATTGAATATTGGAGCCGGGGAAAGGGGGTAATTCAAATTTCGTACTGATAATGAAGCTGCTGGATCAAATCAATCTCGAAGGTCTTAGTTCACAGCTGAGCAGCGCTAGTAAGCGATATAAAATTGATGCAAGGCAAGTTGAAGTTGTTTCTGCGTTTTTGAGATCTCACTATTCGGTGCATGTTTTCGAGATGATTAAGATTTTTAACTAACCCAGCTAGCATTTTTTTCGGGCGCATTGCAGACTTGGGAAAATTGCAGAATTTTAGAGACAGATTTAGGGCGCACTGCAGAATTTTTTGGGCAGACTTCGGGACACTGTCCCACGTAAGTAGATCTACCCGAAGTTTTTGCCCCAAAATGTCTGCAATGCGCCCGGAAAAAATGCTAGCTGGGAAAGACTCGGACGCTGCAAAAGTGAACCTTGTAGCGGTACTTTACCGATATTCCTTCTTACTTCACCATTACTTAGACACTACACTTGGGTATATATATATCTCACGATACTGACATTAGTATGCATCATCTCTAAACCTAGTAACATGCGACAGAATCCAGTCAGTAGGGGTTCGTTAGTAATTTGATAAGTAAGTTTATGTTTAGGCAAATTATTGCAGTGGGCAGTCAATTCGTGAGGTTGAATTGTGGTTAATTGCATCTTTCCTGAAATGAAACCCATTAAAGTCCTGTAGGTCATTTGAAATAATGGCCTACAAAATGAGTTCTCAGATTCTGTAAACATGTGTCTAGGACTTGAACTTTCTATTCTATCTCCAAAGGAAATTCCAAAAATTCGTCTTGAAGTTAACGTTTGATGTCTTAGCTGTCTTCATTCAGCTGAGCATGCCACTTACAGCCGGGACAAGTTTATTTTATGCCTCTAAAAAGGGGTAACAGTTAAACAATTACCACCTAATTGTCGCAACACTGTTATTTTCATTAGATACCGTTCTGTAACATTGTTACGAAGGTGACTGAGTCTTAGAACGATGAGTGATGCTTGAATCTTGAAAAGACGAACGAACCAAGAATTTAGGCTTTATTCATTTTACAATGAAGCCGGGATGGCTTAAACGTATAAAGGGGAAAAAGTGTTAATAGCGGTAGAGATATGAATATGATTACATACTTATTATAAGAAAAGTTCACAACAAACATATTAGCTGTTATAGTACCGAACCCAAAGTATTGGCAATAATATCAAAGGTGGTATTGTTTTCATGCAACTGTTGGAGGATTTTTTATTTGTAGACAATGTCTCCTGTCTAGATAGAAGACATGGCGTTTACTTTTGACATCAAGTAGTAGCGTATCTTAGCTTACTGTGTGCAATTCTATCACTCCATGCATTGCCATTACACCTGGATCAGCCTCTTCGCCTCCGGAAAAGAATTTGATATCGAATACAGAACATGTTTAATTACTGTATTCCACACCCCTTGTATAAGATACAAGACTCCAGTCAGCAACAGGTTTGATATCTGATCCGATCTGCAGATCATAGAAGGTATATATTTATATACCCAATTACTGCGCATTAGTCTTTGTTGTATGCATTTATTGGATGAGGAATTTCTTAGCGGAATCCTGTAAGATAATTAAATTAACAAGATTAATAAAGGCTAGGATTATGTCCTCTTCATTTTTATGTCCCACTCGGGTTTTGTTTTACGTGCATACTTCTTGTCAACTGTCTTAATTGTAGCATTTTGATTATTTCTAGCCTTCCGGATTTTTCGTCACATGCTTGATGAAATTTACTGTTGAATTTTTTTTGGGAAGCCTTAAATTTCGAACCGTCTAAATGAAAGTCGGGGATTCTTTTTGTGATCGACTGCAACACTTAGTGAAGTCAGTGGAGTCATGCGGTTCAATCTTGACGTAATAATAAAACTGTGACTTTTCGCAGCATGTAAATGTCCATAAATATGTATACTTCGCATTGACAAGGTGGGGTGTTTTTTATAGATTCACTGAGGCTTGTAATTACACTCTAGAATTGCCTCTAGAAAACTTGGTAGTTACTTGCTGGCTATGATTTGTACTTGTGAGTAGTAATTTCCCAGTGGTTTGTATACTGATCATTCCTGGGGATCTATGGGGTTGACTATGGAAAGCTAAGATGTAATCATATTTAGGTGTCTTCGTCTTCTCATCCATGAACATAAACTTACCGTCAAGACATTTTATCCACTCCCTCACAGATAACCACGGACATCAATTCGATTGGGACAACGTTCAGGTATTAGATACAGGAAACACCGAAAACCGCCATGGAATATTCGGAAGCCTGGTATTCAAGTGGATTGGCAATTAGACATTGACATGGACAAAATTTACTAATCCTTAAGAAGGAAATCTTGTGCACGAAAAGTTAAACTTCACGTCAAGGAAATAATCAGTACCAATACAAGTAGACCAGTGGATGTGAAATCACAAAAACAGTCACTCGCGTTCAAGAATACCAGGAGAGACTGCTAATAAACTCGTAGATAAATCTAAAAGCTCACTTCAAGTTGAAGTACACGCTAAGAATGTCGCCTAGTAAAGCAGTGAAAGCTTCGCAAGTAAACCATCCGTCTCAGAGAACAGAACTACGTCAATATCATCCATCTGAGCCACGAATGGTCCCCATTAGTGGTTTGTTTTGCAGTTGGGGGAGGAAACATGGTATGCTCCTATGAATGTACTTGACGAAGATGCTTATGTGAAGAATAACTCTACTTGTACATTGTGCTTATTAACGTTGCCAATTTCTTGGTGCGTTTACTGTAATGTCTGTGTAGATTGGGAACTTGTGGTAAGTGGTAGCTATCTGCATATGAAAAAGATATTATAGGTGCTGTATTAAAAGAAGCTTCGTTGTAGACCTGAAACGATTAGAGTCAGAATCTCCTTGATGAACCCATTTAAAAAACAAGGGAGATATGCTTCAATCAATAGTAGGCTTCCATAATGGATACCACTAGTTGCCATCACTTCAGATGACAACTCCTGGTGGGGTCTCGCCTGGCTGGCTAGATGAGTTCGAGTAGAGAGCCTTGATCAGTGGTGGCCAAACAAAAACATGGCATCAATCCATGAAATCCTTGACAGTTAAACTGAGTCAGGTAGGGAGATGCAGACTCCCGGGTTGGGGCCCTCGGGACTCTAGGAATCAATGGCTGGAGACAATAGGTGACATGGCTCAAAATCGTTGTCAATGGCGCAGATGTATTCAATCTCTGTAATCTTTCATATTCCTTTCTACCATTACCCATTCTGTTTCACTCTTATATCTGTCAAACTCTATAAATTCTCTTCACTCATCTTCTTGTCTACCTCTGTGCTATTTGGAAGGTGGCAACTCGAACTGCTGCACTTCGGTGCCAAGTTCTATGTTGAATCCAGACAGACAGACAGATGTATTTACTCGGCATTCCTCTCACAGCCAAACATCGCCATAGTACGTCGTGGTCGACAGGATCGAATGCCGCCTTTAGGTCAAGAAATATGACGATTGTTGGACGCCGGTAAGTATGCCTATATTCCAGAATGTGTCGAAGGGTAAAGATATGGTCGATACACCCTCTTCCTGGTCTAAAGCCTGTCTGGTTCTTTCGTGTTTGTTCCTCCCGTTGACCGCTTAGTCTACGCATGATTATTGAGCCTAGAACTTCAGGTACCATATTAGTCAAGCTAATCCGCCTGTGATTATCACAGGAAGACTTGTCTCGCTTCTTGTATTTGGGGATAATCAGTGACACCAACCCGACGGGACTTCTCCTGATTCCCAGACGTTGCCTTTGTACCTTAGTTGATGCAGACAGTAAACTGTCTCCACCATCCTTAGACACCTTTGGAGTCATTCCATCGAGTCCCATTTGCGACGTACATAATAGTATTCAGTGGATGTTTTTCTTCACCACCCAGTAAGTCTATTTCTTCTATGTGATGTATTACGAGTGGATACGTATTACTCAACAAATTATTTGTTAACAAGTTTAAATGGGATTACAAGGTGTACAGTATGTATGTATATTTCCATCATTAGAAACCATGTTTAACTTACATAAACTTGCGGTTTTTTCCTTCAATGAGTTTGAGTTGTATGCGTTTGTTATGTATGACACTATTTTGTTTTGCAGACTGGAGAGCTACTCATGCAAAATGGTTTCTGAGGAGAAACGACAGTTTAAGGAATTAGTCTCTCGCCTAAATAATTCTGAGAAATGTAAACATCCTATTCTTTACCTTGGTTCATCACAAACTCTACGGGACTTATATGAATTGACTGGACAAGTGGTCGATCCCCGAACGTTCCAAATGAGCATTTTTCAAGATCAGGCATCAACGGTTACTTCTGGTTTCTGTGTTTTATTTTGTATTGCATTTTTATATTTTGGTAGTGTTCATCTGTGTAGATTTTTTCAGGTTAATTGATCATTTTCAACTTATTGATTAATCACACTCACGTATATAACTGTTTCTGTAGCTGTTCCATGTAAATAGATTCCCTGTTACATGACTCTAGATCTAACGCTGTTGCATTCTGTAGATAGCTTAAGCAAGTGACTTTCTGTCATTGGGTCCTAGATTCAGAGCAGCTAAGTAATCTCAAACTAATGCATTGTTGCTCATAAATGATTACAAGTACCTGCGTCGTCTAATTGAATTGTATTGCGCTACGTATCAAATCACTGCTTATACGTCACTATAAAAGGTTTTTAGTTTTTTCTGTTGTGTAGGTGTGATTTTGCAATTGACCAGTGGTTGTGAAAGTGTTTGTGATCGAAATCAACCTGTCTGTTGGCTGGTACCTTGGCGTGGTAGACGGGCTTGCGTATTGCGGTGATCCCGAGGGCTATACCGACCAAGGTTCAACCATGTCGGGAAGGCTGAAGGTGAGCAATGAGACGAAACCCAGCTGCTATTAGTTAAAAACCAGTCCTAGTCATCTCCATGCATTTACCTAAGTAAATTTTATTTATCTCCTGCTAAGTCTTACCCATCAACTTAATTAATTAATTGGTCATGTGATAATGGTCTGATTTGCTAGTCTTCATGTAAGTTGTTTAAGGTTCCAACTTCTCTCGGGATCTAGTAGTACCCCTCATCTCCTTTGTTCAGTTCCATTGATATTTCTTTGCACTCGCTTTCAGAAGACAGCGGGCTCTTAAAAAAATAAAATGTAGTTATAAACTCAAGAAACCCCGGACATTTAGATTCCTTGGCTCTAGGTTAATCGAGACTTATTATTATAGGTAAGTAACCTCCAGGAACAAAGTCATGGATTGATGTTTAGTCCTAGGTATTTCACTTTCGATAGCCAAGTAATTGTTAACACTAACTCTGAGTATAGTTCACGAACTAGTTTAATAGTTTCTGGCTAGTCTCTAATTCCCACTCTGGTTTCACTTGTAGTGTTCATTAGTGTGGAGTGCACTCGTTTTAGAAGTAGCAACATGAATATTTTCAACTTTTGCTATGCTCACATGAGTCTTCAGCAAATATGTTCACAAAAGTTCGGCATGACACAACTACTTAATCGTGGACGCTTATTTTTCCAGGTATTATAATCATCCATCATGCAGTAAGGATAATTAATTCCTAAGTGCATGTAAAGTTATTTTTGACTTCAGTTTCTTTCTCCGTCTTCTCAAAATGCAACTATCCGAAACTATAGCATTTGCCATTTGCTTGACCTAGTTTAATTCCGTCTAGCCTCAGTGGTCGGGGGTGCCTTGCGCTGGGTGGCCCCCGACACCTCTTGAAATGCTCCATATGACCGGCGTCTTACATAGCCTCTCCTGAGGAAGTCCTACTACTGCCTTCACGTGGCGGAGGTGTTTCTCACCAAAGTGAGAGGGCGAAAGCGGATGCCCGGCGCTCTCCACCGGGTTGACTGTCCATTGGATGACAGTCTAGGGGAGATGGCTAAACCCTGATTCCAAACCTCCAACGATTGGCGTATGAAGCTCACTGGAGCTCACCGGCAGACGTATGGACAAAGGGCTTGTTGGTTTTCCTGGATGTCTGGCCCCATTCAAAAAGGCGTATGAACCGAACTTCGGTCATCGGCTGCCAATGGATAGTGGACTCCTTACTCCACTCCTACTGCCTTGTAGGTCACACTTGGTTGTGTAAAGGCTAGAGCTGCACTCTCAAACAAAAGGCCGAGCGATGCTGGGGACATCACTCGTACCAAATTCCCATGAAACTTCATGAACTCTCTTACAAATTGCCGCGCCTGGGCAGCGATGATTCGAGACGTTCATGAAGCCGGCTCATCTCCGTAGGAGATAGCCGAAGTAAAGTAATATGGCATCAGCATCACTGTGAATTTTATTTTAGAATATTATGGAATATATCTGAAAGAAAATAATTCATTTCAGCCACTGCCTATGTTAATCTACAGAATCTTAATCTGTAAATCACTTCATATCTTAAATTGTGTAGACTAACACTTTATTTGTTTACTTTCGCTTTTAACCAGTTAGTTATGAATTAAAACACCAAGACTTGCATTTCCACGTTATAGTGTTAGTCCACATACAGTAGTTTTAACCTGTCACTGAGTATGCAAAGCCAAATTTGAGTCTATACCGTACAATTTTATGTAACATTTTCCATAAACACTTAACGTTTAGATTGGGATAATTGAGAAATACAGATACTAATGACAAAACTTGTTGCTACGGTTATTTGTTATGCTAGAGTAAACTTACTACCTATTCATCGATTATTAATTTTTATTATAGACGTTAGAATATGCCAACAGAAACAAGATTGGTAGCACTATTGGCATTTGTAGCCACCTAAATAGATTGTGCATCGGTGGCACAGCGGTTAGGACGCTCGCCGACAATGCACATGTTCCGGGGTTTGATCCCCGACGGACGCACTCCTTTACCTCGCTAAGCCAGAAATAATGCTGGTAAGGAGGAAAGTCCGGGCATGAGGCTAGCAACCCCACCCAGTGAAATTAAACACTGCTACAGAAACTTCAAGCCACTGGCTTGAGGCCCTATATTCCACCGTGAACGTGAAGAAAAAAAATAGGTTTCAGGCGGTCAGCGCAGAAACTAACTGATGACCTATGGAAAATACTAAGTCTTTTTCTCCCATCAATTAATTTTCATATATAATGTACATTTTCTTTATGTAAATGAGTGAGAAAACAGATTAATGGGAATGATGAGCGAAGTATCTGTTGGGAATATCTGTGGTGTTTGCGTTTGTGAAACCATCACAATAACACCAATATCATGTGGTCATCCAGAAAATCGGTGGTGTACTAAGTTATTACTGTACTGAAGATAACTTGTCACCGATATCATTTTAGTGGTGCGATCTTTTATTTCTGTATGAAATGGTGCAATTTGGAACTAAAACTCCACAAATTACTCTAAGATTGTCAGTGCTTAGTGATACTGAGTGCACACAGCTTTTCATTTGATTTTGAATGTCTGGAGGGCGAGGAAACTTGTTAGGTGGCATACTCATAACTCACTCTGTCATCCCAGGCCTGCTCCACCATTAGTCTGGACGTATTTGCAATGCATTTATTTTAGTATTGTTTTCTTGCCTGAATTTGCAGAATCCTTCTGGCTTGTCTCCTACTAGAAATTCTTCTAGTGGGAGAAAACGTACTCGGTCGGAAACTTCCACGAATTTAGAAGACAGTATCTCAGATTCTTCATCTCCAAAATCGTCAGCATCAGCGCTTTCAACCAAAGACTTATTTTGTTTAATGAGCACTCTCAACATTTGTTTTGGACCTACTTACAATTTCCTAACTGCGAGAAGTGATGAATTTTGTCTAGAACCTGAGCTTCGGGTATGTTTTTATTGACATTGGTTTTACTTAATTATTCATATTTCGGTGAGAAGTGTACAATAAGCCATATATCTTTACATAATTTAAGCGTTGATGAAGCATTTTCACGATTGTTATTTTTCACCTCCACCGTACTATATGTCACAAGCTTAAATATGCCCCTGGATGATAAATGCGATACTAGGATTACATTTCATTCAATATAAAAGGCATTTATTGCAGACTTTTCTTACTAGTTTATTAAAAGAACAGTTAATCTCAACGTTATCTTTCTGTACTCATACTCCAGGAGGTTGGGATCATCAATGACAGTACCGATGGTCAATGGCAGTTAGGAATGGGTTGTGATTTATGCAGAGCTACAGGAATTGTTTTGCACTATCTGGCCTGGAACTTTCTAATCTTATTTAACCACCTAAACCTCGATCGTCAGCTACTGCATCGACCCAATAACTGCGATGAAACGAGTTGTACGGGCGAGAGTAATTGTTAGATTATATTTCATACATTATATTCTAGGTTATCGTGCTCCATTGTCAGTTGAGACCGACCCGCCTAACTGAATGCAGGCCCCAAGGTAGCTGAAAGTACTCAAAAACCATAAGACAATTTCCCTGAATAACTCATCATCAGCTCTTTGCAAGGATGGTAGTGGAACTCTGGTCAGGAAACTGATTTGATTGTTTGGGAAAGCATGGGAATGAAGTCGTCATTATGCCTATCTTTTGAAAGGAATTACTTAATGCATACATACATACATACATGTGTCTCTGTAAATTTAGTTGCTCCTATGGAGAGAGCTATATAGGGCGAAAAACTAGACAGCCTAACAAACGCATTAATGAGCATCTTCATGGTTCGGAAAAGGTCAAATAAAATCTATAAGAAGTTCTATTTTGGCTCATTTGATTGATAGCGGTCACCAAGTGGACAAAAATAGTGCCTTCAAAGTTATCTATCGCATTCCACCGAGCCTTTCGAACGGAATTCGAATCCGTCTTTTACATATAGCCGAGGCTACGGGATTCGAGAGAACAACCCTAGTCTTTGCATACAAAAGAAGTTTGTTCTACCTTTGTCTCTCCCTTGGCCTAGGTGAATTCTATTCAAAACCCTCCCACCCTTTCTTATTTTCCATCTCCTTCGTATTTTTATGATAATTATTTAAACTTTGATTATCTGTCCACTTCACCATTAGTATTACGTAAATTTTAAGATTTGACCTAATTTATTTAATTGTCTACATATACACATATTACTACCTTTGTTATTCTTATCGCCATTATATTCATCGTTATTAACTACGTTCAAAAAATTTACCACATTACTATTATTGTTATTTTTCTATAGTTCGGTGTGTAAGGGTTAGTTATGTTTTTACGAGTTGATCACGGATTGATATAAGTTAGAGAACCATTGAAAACCAGGGAGTACTGGACAGCTACTGTTTCATCCTACTTTGGGAATCATCGGCAGTACGCACCCATTGGGATTCGATTCCAGGGCCTTCCAGATACAAGGCGAGCTCGTACACCATTCAGCCATTGGAACCCGATTCAATGGCTCATGCATTCTAACTTCTACCAATTCGTAATTTAGCGCCATTATCGTTGATGGGACATCCATCCACACACGTGACATCCAATTGGATCTCACTGGTCATGACTTCTCACTAGAACTCCAGGAAACTCCATCCTGTAGCAATTAGATGTCACGTGTGTGGATGGATGTCCCATCAACGATAATGGTTGGGGTCGCGCTAAATCACTAATTGGTAGAAGTTAGAATTCATGAGCCATTGAATCGAATCCCAGTGGTTGAATGGTACACGAGCTCGCCTTGTAACCGGAAGGCCCTGGAATCGAATCCCAGTGGGTGCGTATTATTTGATCCACAAAATCACCGTCATTGGTTAAAAATTTTTATACATAAAACTATGTAAATTAGAGTGAAGCCTGATGAATATCTAATTGAAAAAAATATTGTTCGCTTATATGTCTTGTTCTAATATCAAAAATGGGAATATATATATATATATATATATATATATATATATATATATATATATATAGCATTATTTACTCCTTTACGTTCCCACTGGAACAAATGGCTTCAAGCTGGAGTAATATTAACTGATGACGTTTCGAGCACAAACTATTGCTCGTAATCATATCAAGTTACTCACACAACTTATCCCTTCATTTATATACATGTGTGGAATCGATTAGATTCTGGCATAAAAATCAAAATCGGATAATGTAAAAGGCTTTAAAAGGTTGTCTGGGGTGTTTCTTTGGCTCTCGCCGTTGTTCGTGGTCAAAGAGTGAAGTGAAGATGACTCACTAGCCTGCAGAATAGTGCTAACTGTAGTAGAGAAGCAAGATGAGGAAGGTGATGTGAGTAAGGAAGAGTGATGCTTAGGAAGGCTTCGTGTGCTTTTGGAAGTGTGTGGGCGGTTGTTACTTCCCGGCTGCCCACACCGTGGAAGTTGATTGATTCTTCGGGAACCTGAAACAGAAAGTGTTGCATGACCGCAGAGACCAGGGGACAACTGCTTGAAGCCGGTCACACGCGGCCTGTTTTTGTTTGTTTGGTGTGTCTCAGTAGCATATTTATCACTTCTACCCTGTGACACGGCAGCAGGAAGCGCGGTCGTTGTTAATCCGGGTCCCGACCGATCCGGCATGATATTTTGTGAATTCGTTTGAATAATAGTATTGGATTGGGTAGCTGCTTTTTGTCTAACATCTATCCAAACAACCTTTCCGGCATGGTAGGACCTCAAGTGACATAAGTCTCAGCCAGTATAGCTTGTTGGGTCATTGCGGTGTTTATGCCCGACCACCACGTCAAGGTAGCAGCTTTCAGTCGGGTCTCTAGTGATGAGACTGACTGCCTCAGTGTTATATGTCAACCGAAATAGCTGTCCAAATATAACTACATGTACATTTCAAACATTAATATATCACTTGATATAAGTATAAAACTTGGGCACTATGGTAGAGTATAACTCCATTATGGATAGGATTTTATTTTGATAAATCACACAGTGTTATACAGTCATATTAACTGATGACGTTTCGAGCACAAACTATTGCTCATAATCATATCAAGTTACTCACGGTCGGGGCCCGGAATTACGGCGACCGCGCTTCCTGCTGCCGTGTCACTGGGCAGAAGTGATAAATATGCTACTGGGACACAGCAAACAAACAAAAACAGGCCGCGTGTGACCGGCCTCAAGCAGTCGTCTCCTGGTCTCTGCGGTCACGCAACACTTTGTGTTTGAAGATCCCGAAGAATCAATCAATCTCCTTGGATTTCGTAGAGTTCGTGGACCACGCGTCGACCACGTGTTTTTCCTTTATGTTTTTTTGGGTCACTGCTGCGTATATTGCAGGTCGACAGTCCATGTATTTCGATTCGTTGGAGGTGAATTTACTTTGAAATTGTTTCATAGAGGTTTGGAGCTCAGCCCTGCACTCGCGTCGTGCGTAAACCGTTAAAAGTAATCGATATGTTACTTCTCTAAATAGTTGTCGGAGTGGTGGGAGGTGTGTGACGAATGTAATTGTATAGTTGAGGTCAGGTGGCATACACCAACCTTTACACACACCTAGTGCCGTATGGACGTTAGTCTGACCTTCAAAGGTAGATGTTCAATGCTTCTGTCGGCTGTCTTCATCTAGTCCCATGAAACCTAGCTTTTGATCTTAGGAGGTGTGGCGACTCTGTTATCTCTCTAAAATTGTTTGTATTTAATGGGGTTACAGTTTAAGTAATGGTAAGGTTTTACATATTGTATGCATATATGATGGGGATAGTCCTTCTGATAACAACTGATTTACGCGGGCATAACTCAATAGACACTTCAACTGAATACTATATGCTACTGTCTGTCCTCATTACTTTCCGCCTCATCGAGCCACGTAAATATCAGAAGACTGGGACTGGCGTGTAACTGTAAGGGTACGTTTATTAGTAGAATAAATATATATTTCTAGCACATCAAAAACTGACTAGGTCTGTGGTATATAAGTTATTCTCATTGGCTGCAATTAGCCAGGATGAAAAGATTATACAGTGAATTCCAAGGTTACCCAGTGAAGTTGTTATGCCTACGTCACAAACTAAATTCAGATTTGAAAAATAAGAGCTACCTCTGCAACCATTGGCTTAAAATGTTGATTGCAATTTCAGCCACTTCCTATTACTTCCAATAAGTGATGTCGTCTTGGGACTCTGACTCTGTTGCCCTAGACATTTACTACAAATACCATCTCAGTGGCTCCCATGCCAGCCGTGGAACTGTATGGGGAAATTGGAGAGTTGTTTGATTCATTACATTGCGTTGTGAGATTGAAGATAGTTGTGCTAGGTTAGCATTTATTGATACATCACGGCTTCGTGGGTGGGTCCGATAGATAGTGCACATCAGGGGCTCGATATGTTATAATGTATGGCCAAAAATCTAAATCAGTGGCGAACGTGCTGCATTTTATTCCATTTTTTCTGTGAAAATGTATGCTGCTTTGCATGGTTTTGATAATTATGTTCACCTGTTTTTGTAAGGCTGCTCGTTAGTGGTGTTCTGTCCGGCTTTTCCTTACATTATTTTTTTTTGTGGCGCATACTTTGTTGCTCTTATTTTACCCAGTTTCTTCTATATACGTAAAAAGTGTTAGAACGAACCAACTGTCACTGGTAGCCGTAGAATCATGATTGGTGCAATCAACCAGATATTGGTTATTTATGATTTAAATTTATGTTTGTGTATAAAGAATAATTTACTCTGCATTGTAAATGGTAAGCTTGTTGTCGCAGTTAGTCTGATTTCCGCGTCTACCTCAGTGTGGAGGAATATTGCCAAGTGATCAGTTGTCTGGGGGTGCATTATAGTCAAGTTAGACAACAACCAACAAAAACAGTAAACACTCCGTTACAACACAAAGTAAGCGGCTTTCTCTATGGTGGTAATTACTATTGATGTAACCGCTATC